TGCGGGACGCACTGGTGTAATCGGGCACGTCAGGTGCGCGCGAGACGGAGCGGAAGCGTGGCATGGATGTGTGTCTGTGTGTGTTAGCGCGGCAGTAGATAGCTATGCGTGTGCATCGTGCGTGCGGCCGTTAGCATATCTAGCTAGATGGGTAGCGTGTGTGTGTGTAACGTGCATGCATGGATGCATGGATGCATGGAGCTGTTGGGGAGTCCCGCGTCGTGCGTGGACGCGGGCGGGCCGATCGGATCAGCGCGCGCAGCCGGAGCGAGGTCGGCAGCGTGCGTTCGTTGTGGATCATGCATGCGTGGGCGTTGCGTTACCTCGTGTATAAAGACTGGACGATGCAGTCGTTGAGTTTTGTGCTCTAAAAAGTAAAAACGGTGCTGTGTTCGGCCGGGTGAAACTCCAATGTACCCTATTTCTTCTTCTACCTCTAGCCTTCAGAGAGAGAGAGGGAGAGCGGCAACAACAACAACCGCCGCCACCTCGTCGGTCCCGTGGCTGCCGACCTCCCCTCGTCGCGCCAATGCGTCCAGGAGTTGCGGCACCTTCCCCTGCTTCGACTACGAGCATTGGTCCGAGTTAGGAGGCCGCGTACACTCGCCATCGACGTCGTCTTCGCTCACGGCCGCCGCATCTCGCCGTCGAATTTGTCACATCCCGGCCACCCCCGACCTCCCAGCCTCGTCCACGAGCATCGGGGTGAGCCCCTCTGCCGATTCCCCGCCTTTCCCCTTCGAATCCCTCGCCGTAGAAGCCCCCACCCGAGCTAGGCCGCCGCGGCTGGAGCTTCCCTCTCCACGCTCCCGGCCGCGCTCCCGCGAGCCCTGGACGCATTCGTCCGTGCCCCTGCGGCACCCCCACGCGCGCGCCCGCCTGGGCCATGCCCTGCCTCGCCCCTGGAACGCGGTCGCCGCGCCCGCAGCAGCCCGCCGTCCCGCTCCCCTACTGCTCCTGCTTCGAGCTACTGCTGCTCTCCTACGCCACTGGCTGCTTCTACTGTGTCGGCTACCGTAGCTGCTGCTGGTGGCGCTGCTTTCGCTTTGCCGCCGCTGCTTCTTACTGCTGTCGCTGCTTTGCTCTGCGCTGCTGCCGCTGCTTGCTGTTAGTGCTGCCACTGTTGCCTCTAGCTGCTGCTGCGTACTGCTATTGCTCATGGCCATAGCTGCTGTTGCCATTTGCCGCTGCTGGCCGCTCCTGCACTGGCCTCGATTTGGCCGTAGCCATGGCCGAGTGCCCTGTGCGGTGCATGTGTGTGCACATGCGTTGAGGCTTGCTATGCCTCTGGCCGGACTGTTCAAATTAGATTAGGACTAATCATACTAGTTAAGATAATTGCTACAATATGACATATGAGCCCATTTGATCAAGTTAGTTTTTATTTATTAGATTAGATATAACTTTATGACATGTGGGCCATCACCTCAGGGCCGGTCCTGAGATTTCGGGGGCCCGGGGCGAAACTAAAACCCAGGGGCCCTTGACTTAAGCATCGAAATAATGTGTGATGGAAAAAAATAGACAAAGATGCACGATGCAAGGTCATGTTTAGTGTCATGCTTGAACTACAACTGTTGGAGTACATTATTTTAGATACTATAGCAAAATGATAGAAGACTCCACGAATAGTCCTAAAAAAATTTGCGTCCAAATTGCATAGTTGGATTCACATTTTTGAGTTCTAGGAATGACTATTAGTATAAATTGGAGTATCTGAGAAATTAGATGGATGATCAAAATTCATATGAGTGATGTGGAAAATATTTCTTCGTGTCGTCAAAAATCAAATACCTTCATATCTTACAAAAGTAAAAATATGGTGCCGCAATGGTGTAAAGTTACTCACATCTAGCGGTTGTGCAAATGATTAAATTAAGAGTTAATTATCCAATTATGCCGTCATCTCATTGCTCAATTCATACTTAAACCAACTGCCATGAGAGAATCCAGAACTTCGTTCTTCGTTTGATCTCTTTGAGATCTACTACATGAAACAATATTAAACTACAGAACCAGAACGGTTAATAATTCTACAAACAGTGAAAGATGTTGACCGGCCGGTAATACTCACCTCTATAGACGAAGATCAGCGCCATAGATCATGTGCGTGCCCGAGATCAGCGCCGGAGATCATGTGCACCGCGCCCCTTGAGATCTGGGTCTCATCCTATAGCGCTCTTCTGATTCACTAATATGGGCGTGAGGCGGAAAGGAGGCGGCTGTTACGTGCGTGATGGCGATGCATGCGTGGATTCCTGGATCTCGGGAGTGTTGATGCGCAAGTAATGACGATAGATCAGACGGTCCGTACCTGCTACTACTTGTGATGGGCCAGGCACAATGAACTTTTTTTACTGCAGCCATAAATTTATAGGAAATACATACTTAGGGGCCCCTCCACCTTGGGGGCCCGGGGCGGCCGTCCCCCCTGCCCCCCCTCATGGCCGGCCCTGCACCACCTCCCCTTTGGCCAGTCATTTTGACTTTGTCAACTTGAATTAAAACAAAACCAGAAATTTTAGAATATTGTTAAAACTTTGGTCA